GCGTGTCTGTGTGTGTGTGTGTTTGTGTGTTTGGGTATGTGTTGGTTAAACTTGGACTAGAGATGACCTCTTTGAGGAGAATTCTGCAGCAGTGTGCACTATTGAGCATCCTTTGTGTCTTCCACACTTGTTATGTCACTGCCATTCCAACTCCTTGAAGCATTATAATATCACTAAAAGCCCTCCTGATCTTTCTTCTGACAGATGACTTCAGCTCCATAAACCATAGTGAGCTTGGTGCTGTAGAACTTGGGAGAATATGTGTTTGCATAACACCAACTCCTCCCTCTTGTCGGTCACATGATAACCATAGGCAGATCTATACTTATTGTCTATCCTGAAGAGTGAAACTACGTATTTTCATAAGCATGCTTCATTTTTAATTGTGTAATTAAGTTGCTGACATAAGCAAGTATGCAATTTCACATTAAGGTAAGGATCCATAAAGGCATGCATTTGCATAATTTAATTTTCTGCACAGAAGATACTGAAAATCAATAGCATAATTCATGGCCTTACCATATCATTGCCACGCCACCGTTGGTTGGCTGTTTGAGTTTAGAAGAGTACAAAGAGTACTAAAATTGATTGAATTTGGTTGCTGAGTCTGTAACCACAGATTTTTTCTTTGTGCAAATCACTGCTCCTTGCCAATAAAATATTAAGTTGCTTAATATACTCGATATATATTTTTTGACTGCTGTTAAAATAATAACTTTAAAAAAACACACCTTGTCATATGATTAAAATGCATTTGAAGAGGGGACTTAAACTTTTGTTTTCTTTTCAATTATGCAAGAGCCAGTAGTACATGATTATGTTCCTATTTAGGGAAAAAAGAAATCACACATTCCTGACATAGACGGAATAAAAATTAAATATAGTCATCTTTAATGAATAGTTTATGTGTTAAAAAGAAATCTGGTGCCAAGATGATAAAGTCCTTTGCTACCCTATTCATTGCTGAGTTGCCTCCCTAAAGAACTGCTTAGGAGGTACTCAGGATCATTCGTTCCAGCTTCGTGTATTAGATGTTCGCTGTTTCTGATAGGTGGGCAGTGACTGGAAAAAGAGACAGGAGGGGAGAAGGTAATGTTTTTGCTTGTGGCTTATATAAACACACACATATATGCGCATACACACAGATACTCTTGCCCCCTAACACAGACACCGTCAGTCTTGCTGTTGTTCATCTATATTCATTCATTCATTCACTCACTCACTAATTATTGAACAGATACCATATGCCAAACTCCATCTTGGGTGATAGCTTGAGAGCTCCTTATCTCCAGGGAGCTTAGAGCCCTTCATAGGCCATGCAACATGTCCTTCAGAAACTGGTTTTCCTGCCCATTATTACCTTGTTGTGTACAACCCATGTTGTACTCAATACTTCGGGGAGTGTGATGAAGACAGGGTTAACCCACCCTCCTTGGGATCGCCCTGCCCCCTCTGTTACCGCTTACCAGTTGGTCTGTGCAGCAAAACTAAACTTCTTACTTTCATCCCAAGTGAACTCCCTTTAGACAGGCAGTTCTGCTGCTCAGGTCAGATCCCTTCCACTACAGAGTGCTGGATATTCATGGCTGGGAAGGTAACTGCTCTTTGGGTATGGATTCCATTACTTTGCAGCTTCAGGGGAGGACCTTCTGATGTTTCCCTCCCTTGTTTCTTGAATAGGGTATATCTTTGTAGATTTGCCATTTCACTAATAGTTTAGTGGGCTTGGAGAGCTGGCTGGTATGGAACTCCAAAACCTGTGGCCTCTATCCAGTCTAGAGACTGGATGGAATTATGGGCTACTTCTTAGTGCTTGGAGGTTTTCATGATAACCTGATGAAGTTCTGGACTCTGTTGCTCTGCTTTCCCAGAAGGATTGATAACACAGTTTCCAGCATGGAAGCCACTCCAGTGAGAGACGCTGCTGGCAGCCCTTGTCCTCCTTCACCCCATCCTGATGTTCTCAAAGGTTCTGGGAAATGAAAAGCACCTCCGTTTCAGAAAAAAAGGGGACTGGTAGTGGTGATGGTGATTCTAGATAACATCTTCTGTAAAGGGTATAAGTTAATATCCTTGAGGATCACCCTATTCCTTCTCTACTTTTATACCTAGTTCATTTGTTCGTAAGCTTTCTGGCTAGAACTCTGGTTCAGTTCAGATTGTGTGTCTAAATTCTGAGGTTGACACCACCCTGGTGTAATGTCTGCAGCAGGCTGTTCATTTCTGCCTGGTCAGCTCTTTCCTAGTGTTCAGACTTAACCTGTCGAGTTGCAGGCTGTGAGCGTAAGAGTTGAGAATGTTAGAGGTGAAGCGGACCTCCGATCTAGCTCAGCGAGGAGGTTTGTGGTTCTTATCTCTGGCTTTAAAATAGAATCACCTGGAGAATTTTTTTTAAAAGTACTGATATCTTGATCTCACTCCAGACCAATTAAATCTGAATCTCTGGAGGTAGGGTCTAAGGCATAGGTTTTTTGTTTTGTTTTTTGAAGCAGTCAGGGCTGAGAGTCAGAGCTCTAGTCCAATGCATGGAGAAATTGATGATCAAGTGTTGAAGTGACTCGTTTGAAGGTCACCTTTAGTGTCACTTGGGGATCTTTTGCACACGAGAGACAGGAAAGTGAGCTTTGGCAGGTAATTGGTTCATGTAACTATAAAGCCTCCCATGGGGTTGGTTTCAAATTGGCTTTGTCCTGGGCTTAAATTTTGTCAAGAGAATTGATCCATAGATTTTTGCTTCCTCTGGCTTGGTTCTATTTTTGAGCTCCTCTGCTGATCTCTCTGCAAGGGCTTGACACTCCACCGCGCTCTTGAGGCTTCCAGCTCATGTCATAACACCTTCAGGAGGAGAGAAGAATCTCTCTGATTGGCTGATGTCCCCATTCCCAAACCTATTACTGGGGTCAGGGGCATGGTTTACAGTGATTGACGCTTAAGCCAAACAAGGCCCTGGACCTGGCAGGGATGGGGATGACAGGGTGTGGCTGGTCAATCCATGTGACTAGGGGGAGTGGGGTATGATGATTACAAAAACAGAGTCTCTGCAACAAATTTCCACCATGCTATCAGGAATTTAAAAAGCACTGTATGCCCAGTGCTGAGTTAGGTGCTCTGTTCACAGTAACTTGTGTTGTCTTCATAACAGTCCTATGAGGTTGGTATTTTTAGCTGCATTTTACAGACAAGGAACTGAGACTCAACCACGTACCCTAATGAAAACCACATATATTGTTCCCAAGGTCAAGATACTCTTTTACTCATTGTCCTAGTACTAAGAGGAAAGATTATTTGTATAATAATTATTTAGAGTGAGCTAGCTCTAAGAAGTATAGTAAACAGATACATAAAAACGTTTTCCATATGCATAGAGAATAAATAAGGCAAACAATTATTTATTTAGTGTGCTTGAGTAGAGGACAAAAATAGATTAGGAGATGGGAAATTTTATTTTTGGTTCCTGGAAGCTTAGAATAGTCAACTTCCTGGGGCTCTGAATGGCTCATCTACAAAATTACATGATGGATTGGAGGGTAGGTACCTAAACCTTCATCATACTCTAAAAATGGGTAGTAACTTAGATTTTGACTTTCTCCTTCAAGACCAATAAGCAGACATAGATGACACCAGATTTACTTTTTAGATGTGTGTTTAGACTTGATGAGATTCCCATTTCCCTCTAAAGGGCTCATCTCTATGGAATATCTTTGTTTTTTGTTCAAGCATTACTTCTCTCAGAGCCAGTCTTTGCAATTGATGTGTAAACATAAAGTACTTTATGTGTTTCCTGATTTTCTTTCATGACTGTCACATTGTCAACAAAGCTAATGCCATCATGGTGAGATTATTACTTTGGCTAATTTGGACTAGAAAATGTGTGTGTTTTCCTGGTGCCATCTTAATCTTAAGTTGAATATACAGTTCCCCTAACTATTTTCTTTGCTTTTTAAAAGCACATTTGATTTTGTTTGGGTGTATTTAAATATTAACATGGACAGCTGGGATGTATTGTGTGAAGTATAATTCCATTTCATTTTGGATTCTGGGTACCTGTGATATTTGTCGTCTTACATGTCAGTGCATTCAGGTGTGCTCTCACAACAAGAGAAATTTGCATCCATGAAGTGGCTGGGAGGGGAGGGCTCTGAACACTATAGCAGGCAGATGGAAGCTGTCCATATAGGGTAGAAGATGGGATTCATTTTGGGTTATCAAAAAGTATATCATTAAGCAGTATTTCTTTTTTGAACATTGTTGGCCTTGGAGAGTTTCAAGTTTCATATCCTCAGGTACAACAGGTGAATATTTGGGGCCCAAAGGATGTAGAGGACTGCAGCTCACCATGGAGTGTCTTCCAGGCCTCAGACTGTACTGTGTGTGGATGGCAGAGGCCTGGCTTTGATGCTGTCATGCTTATGTTTGGTTTCCTGATCCACAATGTGCTTCCCTTTGTGGCCTGAGACCAGTTACTTAGTGTCTCTAAGCCTTAATTCCTCCATCTGTAAAGGAGATAACCCCTTGCTCCGTGAAGATCAAATAAGGCTAGAGGCCCTTTCCACCGAGGACATAGGCTTATACGTGTAGTTGGAACCAAAACCACAGGTTCTAGGTCTACTGGTTATGTGACCTTGGGCAAGTTAAAGTGACTTAATTTCTCAAAGCTTCAGTTTGCTTGTCTATTGAATGGTGCCATTATTGTGACCACTGTATCTACTGCCTGGTGTTGGTTTGCAGATTAAATAAGATAATGTATGTAAAGTGCTTAGTGCACCACGCTTCCTGGCACAAAGTAAAGGCTCATTGTAAACTATTTTTAATAGTAATAGTAATCATGGTTATCTCTCTAGGTTCTCCTGTAGTTGTTTTTCTGTAAAATCAGGAAGTTCTTTTCAGTTATTCCCAAGGCTTGTGCTTCTAGGAAGTCACCCAGCTGTGTGCATTTGACCCCCTTCCTGTGTCCAGTGGGGTGATGGCTTTGTCTCACTGCGGCTCTCCCTCTCTTCCAGCGTTGACAGAAGGTTACGTCGGGGCCCTGCACGAGAACAGACACGGCAGCTCAGCTCAGATTCGCAGGCGCAAGGCTTCAGGCGACCCATACTGGGCCTATTCCGGTAAGTGGACTTGTTCCAACCAGGTTCACACAGGCCCGTTAACATCCCATTCAACTCACTCGAAAGCACACTTTTAATCACTTTTACGCCTGACTTCTGTTTGTTCAAACCTTTGGAGTTCACTAAAAGTTGAAATATTCAAGCCTATTTTTCCTCAAGGTTATAAGTACCTTAATTTATCTCTCCCACCTGTTTTGTCAACCTGTTTTTTCCCCTCAATTTGCATTTATTTCTGAACTATACTTGTTAATGAGTTATTGTACCAAACTTGTAATTTTGCAAAAGACACAGCCTTTGCTTTTCTGTCTTTTCAGTGGCTCTGATTTCAGAGAGCAGAAAATATAAGGTTAGTCTTGAGCTGCTAAATGTCTGCTAAATATTACGAAGCATCACAGATCATTTTGATCTGTGATGCTTGAATCTAAGAAATGCAACTTTATTTACAAATCAGATCTTGTTAGTTGAATATAATTGAGCTCTCTACTCTATGGTATTCTGCAGTTCTTTTCATTTTTATTTTTACTTTTACTTTTATTTGAAGAGAGAGAACATTGTTATAACTATGTTGCATATTGCATTGGAAATAATTTTTGTACATTTTAAGGGGAAAAAAATGAAGACCTACAAGAACATACAGACCTTTCTGGATTATGCTTCTAACAATTACCAAAAATATTATAGGTGGATTGTTATTTCTGAGAGACTTTGATGCTCAAAAATATATGGAAAATGTATTGTAGGTAATTAAAGAGGAAACTTGAGGAAGACAGACCACTTCGGAAATTATTTTGGCACTGAATAATTCAAATTCTTTGCATGAAAGGGCTTAGAGGCACAGAGTATTAGTCTTAATAATAAATCTATGTATTATGCAATGTTTTTGCATATAGAACTGAAAGGTATTATTTTCATAATGATACTCTGGTTTTAAATCCTGAATTTTGACCTGCAAATCCTGTTAAATTTATGTCAGTGTAAAATTTATAGGCCTGATCTTTAATTACACATTATCTATTGGCTTTTTGCATCCTTTTGTCTATTGATAAATCTGCTGCCCCTACAGGGAGAACAGCCTATCTGTTTTATTTTTCGAGGAACAGATAGTGATTCTGAAGTCTTCCATCACACCCAGTTCCTTGTGATTAGAATTATCTAATTAGAGCATTTCTGATAAATGAAGGAAATTGGGAGATGAAGGCCAAAATTACATATATATAGCTTCTTTCCAAGAAACCCAAAGAAAATTTATCATTTTGTACTCTGTGGCTTCGATATCAGTTAGGAAGAGGATAAAGTGGCCTGCTATTTACAGTTCATCAATTTAGAATAATAATGCTGTTAGTCAGAAAATTGGAAGTTATGTCCCATCAGCGTCTCCAATTTCAAATGGTAATGAAAGAATAAAAAGCCTGAAACTTTTCCCATTATTTAGTTGAGAATGGACATAAGTGGTGCGCTCACTGGGATGGAGCAATTAATTGTTGACATCCTTAACTCTGGTGGACTTAATGAGTCTCTATTTTGTATTTCTGGAATGCATTGTGTCTGGATTTAGGAACTGCTTCTATGGATGGAAGGACAGATAGTTCAACTTCAGGGATTTGTTGTGCTTTTCTGTCAAGATCCAGATAGTAAATATCTTAGGCTTTGCAGGGCATACGGTCTCTGTTACAGCTACTCCACTTTGCCATTGTAGTAGAAAAGCAGCCATAGATAATACTGGACAAACGGGCTGTATTCCGATAAAAATGACAAAAATTTATGGATGAACACTGAAATTTGAATTTTATATAATTTTCATGTGTCAGGAAATATTATAATTCTTTTTGATTTTTTTTTTCCCTCAACCATTTAAAAATATAGAAACTATTCTTACTTTGCAGGCCGCACTAAAATAGGTAGCCCGTTGGATAGGGTCCACAGGCCATGTAGTTTGTCAACTGCTGTTCTAGTTAATTGTTTTCTGGAATCAGGATGGGACAGTCATAGGAGGAATGAACTGGTTTGGAAGAACCAGTGAAGTCACTTGCTAGATGTAATGGAGGAAATAAAAGTAAAAGGAGAAGAAAAGAAATAGAGAGGTATATAGTCTTCATGCTTTAAACTATTGTTCCTGAAAATTCCTCGCTATCCGTGGTTGCTTCACACCACAATGGTGGAATATCGGTTCTCATGTCAAGAAGACTTGGGGTCCATCAGAGACACTCCTTAGCATTTGGCAAATAGACAAAGAAGGAGCAGGAAGGAGTAAGAGGCATTGCCTGTTACTTTTGGCACTTCAGGCCAGGCCCTTAAAACCACAGTAAAGCAGATGTCAGACTACTAGCTACAGATATTTACCTCAGGGTATAGATGTTGCTTGAAAAGTGGGATTGCCAAAAGAAAGGCTTGTCGTTTGTTGAGGGAAATGTTTGTAAATTTAGCAAGTGAAGCAGGCCACTTCTGAAAGATTGGTTTAATGGTCCAGATTTTAATCTCATGCCTCTAATTCACAGATTTGTCTTACTTCCTCCTAAGATAATGCCATTGGTGCTTTGTTGATATGGTGTGTGAGTGAATGAATTTTGAAGTCATATAGATAGATTATGGTTCAAATGTAAATTTTATCTCTTAATATCTTTATGATGTTGGGAGGGCATTTAATTGCTTGGAGCCTTAGTTTCCCCATCTTTGAAATAAGAATAATTAATAGCACTTCCCTCATAGAGTTGTTATGGGGATGAAATGAGATGATGTGCGTGAATAATTTAAGAAATTGATAGAATAAAGTATCTGATATTACTTATAATTGTTTTGACACTTGTTTTTGACACTTATTACTTTTGTGGCTGTTGATATTGTTGTTATTGGAATTCTCAGTGGGTAGCGATGATTGACAGTGGGTGATCACTAGGTAATGCTGAGAGCTAAGCAAGCTAAATTCTGTCAGCTATATTTCACAAGAATTGACCATTTGGGATTTGGGAATGAGGGTTAAGCAAGCTATCCTCAAGTTCAGGGGTTGGCAAACTACCAACCACTGCCTGTTTTTGTGAATAAAGTTTTATTGGAACACCACCATGCCCATTCCTTTGGGTGGTGTCGATGGCTGCTTTCATGCTATAACTGCCGAGTTGAGTAGTTGCCACAGAGACCTTTGACCAAAAAGCCTAGAGTGTTATTATCTGGGCCTTTACAGAAAAGGTTTGCCAACTCCTGCTCACACTGATACAGCCTGAGTTTTAGAGCAGATGTTAGCCTGACTCATAAACAGAACTGTTTAGAGATTTGGAACATGTCTTTTTTGGCCTTGCATTTCCTTTGAGCTGGCATATCCTCAGCAAGTATTCTAGTTAGCATTCATAGTGATTCTGGTGGTCCTGCTTTGGGAAAGGACTTGGGAGGAACAAAGATGAGGGATGTGCTGCAGGAGATAGAGCAGGGAGATGAGCGGGTGTTGGCAGTTCTGGGGCCCCTGGAACTGTGTCCTGCTCATTAGATTGCCTTCATGTGGGTGGGGTTTGGTGCATGATGCTGATCCTGTTATCCCCGTGGCATCCCACCCCAGTCACTTGAGGAGAGTTGCATAAGTATTTGAGCTGTGGATAGCTTGTTTTTAGGATATTGTCATGATAATTATTCATTAATATTGGTGTCATGTTTCACTTTAGGACTAGCCAAGTTATTTCAATTTCACTGCATGACCTTGGATAATACATACATGCTATTTATATTTGAAATGCTAAAAAAACTTTACTTCTGTAGGCTTATCGAGTAATGCCATTGTGAACACTTGTAGCTTTAGCATAGGGGACTTTTTATTGAGGAGCCTGGAAATATGTGTTTTAGTCTCACTGTGATCATCTGAAGATTGGTTATCTCTCTGGTTCTTAATTTTGTCCACTGTAAAAAGGGGGGTCATAATATCTGAGTTCAATCTGAAAATATAATAATAAGAGATATGAAGCAAAAGATAAAGGTAAGATAATTTTATTCTTAACTGTTAACAATGGCACTGTAATTTCAGGATTGCTTTATATCTTTGGATTTATTTTCTTTATACCAAAATAGGGAAAAAGGGGGGCTGGCCCTGTGGCCTAGTGGTTCGGTGTGCTCCACTTCGGCCACCCAGGTTCAGTTCCTAGGCACGGACCTACACCACTCATCAGCGGCCATGCTGTGGCAGCAACCCACAGACAAAATAGAGGAAGATTGGCACAGATGTTAACTCAGGGCAAATCTTCCTCAGCAAAAAAAAAAAAAAAAAAAAGAGGAAAGACCTCTTTGTGTATTTTATGCAGAATTACATTGAGAAAAAAAGCAATAGTTTAAATAGGATTATGTCATTGGAAATATTAAAACAATTTCTTTTCTGTTAGTTTTACTCGAGTAAATTATAGATATTTTTCTGTGTTACTTGAGGTGATGACAGCTCATGAATTTTGGAGTTTGCCCAGAACTGTAATTATTATACAAAAAGTAACACATGCTAGATAGGTCATCCTTGCCGGAAAGGGAAATGAGAAACAAATCTGGAGCAAGTTCAAGAGTAATTTTGGGGCATTTTTATAAAGCTATCTGTTTTCTCTCCTTCCCCTCAAAGACTTGGAGAAAAACAGGCTGTGGTTTCTCCTTCTACCTCTTTTTTACTTATTCTGTTTGTTTTTCTGCTTTTTTAATAATCTATATCTCATGTTCCTTCTGTGTAGAAAGATTCTATGAATCAATGCAAGGGAGGACATTGCTCACCATTAGAGGAATGCAAAACTGAGAAATGCAGTGACCAAAATTCCTTGCAAGAAGTGTCTGGTGTTGCGCTGGGTGAAGGTCAAGCAGGATTATTCTAAGAGGCGTTACTGCCACTGCCAGGAAATTGTAGGAGGAGAGAGATATCCAAGGTCCTTTCTAATTGTCCTGGGGTTTGATGACTTGCTCAGCTGTAAAATGGAGACAAAAGGACATAGCTTGGAGGTTGGCTTTGAGGATTAGAGGTAATATATGTAATCACTTGGTATAATTCT